AATTAAGCTCTACAAATGAAGAAGTAAATCTGATTTCATAAATAGTATTTTTAAAAATACTATTTAATAGATCTTACAGATCTAATACACTAAAATCAAGATATGTGTTCGCTAATGCGGATTCTTATTCACCTTAAACATATTTTTTGTTACAACCCAAAGAAGAAAGATAAAATTAATACTAAAATATCTCATTTTCACATTATTTTTAAATGCCAATCACTTTTGTTTGCTGGTGGCTGAACACAGGGCTGTACACAGGGAGAGAATAATAGGGCAAGCGATAGCATGTTCAAGATAATATAATCATGCAAATGCCATAACTTGCATGACTGTATCAATCCTGAAGGAGGTATATAATCAGAGCATTGGCATAACTACATCATTGCAATTTGCTGCAGAAGCTGCTGCTTGGAGAACTACGTATATAACTTGTTTTAAAACAGAAGAAACTGATAAAAGAGATAAATTTAACATTTTGGCTTTGGTTGAAATAAATTTAAAAATTTAGTACTTAAACTGATAAAATGATAAATAGTTTACTCAAACAGAGCTGCTATCTTAAATCCGGCATATAATTCTACAAGAAATTCTATGAAATAGAAACACTGAGAAATGGAAAATTTATTTATAGCAAATAAAATTGTTTACAATAGCAGTGTTGCTCTACAGAACATTTTGTCCATGATTAAAGCTATTTGTTGCCCAAAAATTCATATCTGAATAATAATTCAAATTAGAATGAGAATCAGTTATTCTAAATTTATTGTTGATACTAACCTACTACCTACTACCTGTTGAATTACTCAATTTAAATTATCTGTGGGAAAAAGCTCTGAATGTTCAATGCTAGATGTTAACATTACTTTGGTTATTTTTCTGGTCAATAAGGGAAATATTTTGGGAGAGAAACTTTTTCTTGTCTTTTGATATTGCCTCTCAATTTTTTTTATTATTTATGTCATCTAATGATCAGAGCACATTCAATCAGTCTTATGATGATCTAAGCATAAATCAGCCTTCTCCAAGATGATACCTTTCAGATATTTTGGAATACAATTCCTAGGTGCAGTCCAACACACCTGTAGGATGCCAGCCTTGAGGATGACTGATTAGATTGTCCTTCTCCCATATGAACCTACCTGCGGCTTTACACTGGAAAAAAAAACCCCTACTGTTTGGGTTTGTCATTAAAAAGTATCTGACAGAATTATTTTTGACAGAATTATTTTTTGATATGCCAGTTTAAAACTTTCTTGGAGATGTTAACCTCTCCTGCTTCCTCTTTTGGACAGATATAAAAAATTTATTACAGAAAGTTCTCTCCCTTTCCTTAAATACTGGTTTGATGCTCCCAAATGTTATAATTCTTATTATTTTATTGTAATTATATATGTGCAGATTATTAAAAAAAAAGGATTATGAAGAATGATCTATTTCACTAAACATTCCATTAGTTTGCATGCATGCTTTACTTCCATCATATACTGCTCTTATTATATTAGCAATCAAGCTTGAACTCCATATTCATTCCATAATTCAACCCTATGCACTTTATTACAGGTAGTCCTTGTTTAGTGACCACAATTGGGACCAGCAACTCGGCTGTTAAGCGAAGTGATTGCTAAGTGAAACTGTGACTGTGTTTATGATCTTACTTCAGCTTTCATTTGCTTTACAAGCCTGCAAAGGTCATAAATGTGAGGATTGGTTGTAAAGTTACTTTTTCATCACAGTCGTAACTCCAAACGGTTGCTAAATAATGCAGTTGCTAGGCAAGGTCTACCCATATATGCTTACAAATGTACATTAAACATTTTTTCTCACTGTTGCATACCCTCCTTGTGTGGGCCTTTTCCTTTTCCTTTATTATCCTTTTGTTCTGTTGACAACACTAAAACCCTTTGAAGGTTTAGAAATTCTCTAACATAGCAAACCTGGATGAATGTGTGGAAGATATAAGATAGCATACACATTTAATTAACATAGGGACAAAGGGGAACAAGTTGGCTTGTATTAAAATACTTAAGAAATGGGTTTTAAAACAGATTCACTTACTTCTTCAAGTTATCTATATCCCATTAATATTAGCCTACCTGGCCCTAAAATTATTCTTAATCCTTTCTCCTTGACAAGGGGAGGTATTCCCAGGCTGGGACTCTGAGCCTCCCTCAAACCTATCCTTCCAGTGACATTTCTCAAATCCCTCTCTCCAATTCCTTCCTTCTGCTGGAATATAACCTGTGAGAAGGAACCCAGTGTTGTCATCCTTTGATTGGCAGTTCCAGCACCCAATCATCACATTCATATCTATGTATTACTTAATGATCTTATAGTGAGCAAAAACCTGGCCTGCCACCTACCATAAGAGTCACTTCCTCATGAGATGGGTGGTGTCCAAATTTGAAATAAAAATAAATAAATAAAGCTGCCCTTCTCAAATGTTGCTCGCTGTTACTTTTCCTAACCTTTTGATCAGAATTCTGCCAAACACATTCCTACAAACACTTAAAAAGCTAATTCCCTCCAATTTTTAAATTTTACATTAACTCCTGCTACTATTCCCTTTGTACAGGGGAAAAATAATGGCATTCTTCCAATTGTCAGGGACAGATGCAATCTTCACATTTTAAACAAGTCACACAGCTATTCCATAAGCAAACCAGATTCATATGCTAACATTACAGTTTGCAACTTTGTCTCTGTTAATATTTCATTCAAAACTTAAAATATGATTGATACAAAAATGCAGTCCAAGATGCCAGACCTTTAAGAAAGATGCCAGACCTTTAAGAAAGATATGACAGCTTGAAGTAAAGGTTTTGACAACTCCAAAAAATATTATTCTTACTGGGATTTTAGAGGATGCCAACCATCTCTGGCAAGGCAATGTTTTTCTCATGAGAAATAGTAATTTAAACTAGTTTGAGTTTATAAAAATCACTTTCCTGTATCATAAAAATAGATAGGGAGAAAGCACATTCTTCCAAATATTAATGAAAGTATGTTTCCAGAGACAGTGCAATTCAGGTAATAATGCCCAAATTCTTAGATATCAATATCTCTTGAACTTGGCCCTAGTTATTTTTACAAGTTTTTGTAAGCCTTATTTGGCTACCGCACATACCATGTACATACACATTGGCTGGAATTATACAACACTATTTAACAAAATCAGTTATAAATCTAGGGGTTGCATTTTATACAGCTTATTAAACCTGTTTCAGCCTTGGTTACTTTTAAATTTAATGTTAAATGTTATGGCTTAATATGTTATATGAACCCAGCCTATTCAGTTAGCTTATAGTTCAATGTATTGTGCAAGCCCTAGAAAAGAAATTAATACAGTAACCAAATCAAGTGCATGTATACAGCTAGCTTATAAAGTCCAACTGAGAAGAGAGCATAAAACACACTACAAGTATCCACTAAATCAAGCACAAAATATATACATTCAGAAGACAGCCACCTCATCACAGCACTTGGCTGCTGCTAATCAATTATTTCCTTTAAATGCTATAGCCTGTTTCCATAGAAACAGACAGCAGCAATACAAAACCTCACATTAATAAAAATACATGTTCTTGAAATTTTTAGGGAGTTAAATAATATGGAATTGTTAATAAAACATTTGTTCATAATACAAAAATTAATCTTCCAACAAAACATTTCTATAATTTAAACTGGAAAAAAAATCATATTTTCACTGGCTGGGTTCCAGGAGTCTCTGTAGATTTCAACATTTTCACTAAGGTGTTTTATACACACACACACACACACACACACACACACACTTCTTTCTGCAACTTCTCGTACCATGAAAAATTGCTCCTGTGTTATTATTGCTACTGTTAATTTTTTCTGCCTGATAAAATTCCCTGGTTTACAAAGTTATTTAATATATTAATAATAATAACAACATATTAACAACTATTAATAAAACCCAAATGAAATAAATATGATTCATAATGTAAGATTATTCAGTGAAATAAAGAGATTTAAAATCAAAAACTAATTACAAAAATGTTTGGAAGCAGGACAATGGCTTAGGTTAGCACTGAAGAAAGAGCAACAGGTGGCTAAGGCACATTTCTCAGGGGAAATCATTCCATAGGTGGGGTCCCACCTTTGGGAAAACATACTTCCATGTACCCATCCACTAATTTCATATGTGGTCTTTTTAATGGAGGTAGCAGGATCTTGTGCACACTTTAAATGTAAGTAGGCAAGAATAATTTAGTTAAGAATGGTCCTCTGATTTCACAAATGTGTATTAGAAAATTTCTTAGAACTAAGTTTTCTATTCCTAAAGCATTCTTATGGATCACTTAAGTAGCATGCACGTTGTAAAATTCTATACTTAATTAAGATTATTTTTGCAACAAATACATACCTTCCTTAGTTGATGTGTAATAGTATGAATTTATGATGATGATGTACATATTTAGATTCATATAAAAGAAACTAATGTAAATCCAAACTGTATCAACCAAACTTCATTTTAAAATGAGCTTCCATTTGTGCTATCGAGGATTTAATTAAGCAAAAACCAGAATCCACGTAACTGTATAAATATATACCAATCATATATTGGTATACCAATCATATATTGGTATATATACCAAATCAATTGTCCAATTGATTAATTGAAATTTAAATCTAATTTTGCAGAAATATAGATAAAATAAAAAGTATTAATTCTTACAAAAATTGACTTCAGCAAATGAATGGAAAATGCAAACTTTTACATTACTTTCATTAATTTTAGCTTATTTCTCCCGATATTATAGTAATTGTTGAAAGAGGTACTTAATTTCACTAATGCAAGGATCACTGTGATTTGATTAAAAAGTTATTTTGATACTGTAGAAGTAAAATACATTCAAATACTGAAACATTTATTAGATATGAATTAAGAATTAAGATATTATTTTCATAATTATATACTAAAATTTAAGAATATATTAAAGAATTGAGCAGTAGCATAATTAACACTATACCTTGATTTCTTCTATTTCATCTGGCACTATCTTGTATGCAGATACCGTCCCACCTAATCTGAAATTTGGAGAAGAAAATATTCTCAAAACCAGTAACACATCAGTAAACATGAAGAAATGTTCGTGTTAACAGCAAAAACATATCATTGTGATTAGCTTCTAGGATAAAACTATACTTGGCTGGCCAAGGAATTATTATGTATTATACATAACACCAATAGCCTACATCATCTTGAATAACATAAGTGAGGCTTATATGTTAACAGATGTAGTGGGTGTTTTTTCACAGTAAGGTTCAATGAGGCTCTTGCTACAATTAGGTTTAAAATGTTGAATATATATTTGCTGAATTGCTTATTTGCGTATTACAAATGTTTCTTTACCATTTTCTTTTTGGCATGTTCCAGCAGCAGATGTTAACAAATAGTAGAAGCAACTCAAGCATTACTTAAGTCTTATGTATGAAAATACAGTGTGTTGTTTGCCATTCCACTCTAACAGTATCAAAAAATGGAGGCTCAACTGTAGCAAATTAATATTATCTATGGAGTATTTGTGTGATAAAACGTTGCAACACAGTTATTCCTATGGATTCAAATACTGTGTCTTGAATGGTCCCTAAAATTTCTCCTATGCCTCAGCCACACAGCAACATGAGACTTCTGAAATACTCATGGACAGTTTAAGAATTACAGTCAGCATCCAGCACGTTGAAACAGTTGCAAGATCTGTCTAGTATGTCACATTAAAACATAGTAAAGAGAGTTGTTATAATACTTGCTACTTTTTGTTCTTATTTATCTACAAACTCAGCACATTTAGAAATAAATGCAGGTTAAGGACTTTTATTGTTCGCTTATAAACTAAAATTTTTATTTGTATCACATACATGTGCTCTGTTATACACACTTTCAAATCAGTGTCTAGCTTACCATGCTAGGTTTGCTTTTCAAAATACTATGCAATAGCTCCAAAGTACTATTAACCTGTTGTTTATAACTTCTAACAAGGCTTGGCCAGTCTCACCTTGGCACACTCTTCGTACCCCAAGTACTTTGCACTTGGAGTGCTATTGCTTCATCCAGTTCACATGGGAACCATCTCTAGTTTTGAGAACCACTTTGTGTTCTCTGAATCAATCCTTGTTAAGCCTTAGAGGTCTCATTCTTGTAATTTTCTCTATGTTGCATAAGTTGAAATCTTCCAAATCAAATCCGTGTGCTTTATGACTTGTTTTGAATGGGTCACACATACTCCACGTTTCATACATTTCTTCATATCTTCACCTAAATATGTAGCACAAGATATACTCACCCACCCTTTCAATATATATGACAAATACATACAGTGACGGTATGGTTTATAGGGCTTTGGAATTTGCTGAACAAGGATATGCCATTGATAGTGATGATTGAGGAGAGGGGAAGTGCTGGTAAGACCAGGGGTAGTTCTGTCAGTGGGATGTGCAGGGGAAAGAAATGAAAAGAAAACGAAAGCGACTGATTAAGGGGAAAGAGAAAAAATACCTTTTGCAAAATGAGATTCTGTCCTTCCATGATAAGAAATGTGTTCAAGTATTGTGCTATGGGGATTATACTCCATCTCTATTTTGTAATCAATAGCCTCAGGTGTTTGTCTCCTGCAAGCTTATATGATTATTTATTAGATTTTCATCTCCTTTTATTTTTGGTCAACTCAAAGCAGCATACACATGTAATGTTTCTGCTTTTTATTTTCCCCACAACAGGGGAGGTGATTTGAGTTGGACCGAGAGTGACTGGCCCAAAATCGCCCACCTTGTTTTTATGCTCAAGAGAGAACCATGATTCATGGTTTCCCTGTTTCTAGCCCAGCACTATAGCCACTACATTGCACTGGCTCTCAAAAGCTGCACCTGAGGGTTCACTTTTTTTCATATATTACTAATTAACTGTGCATAGTATTATGAACATAATACTAAATATTTTAGCATTAACACATTCTGGATTTGTAGACACAGACCACCAGGAGGTGGGCACTACATGACCAATTTCATCTGTTTTGGAACTATCAGACATAGGTAGCCAGTTATTATTCTATAGGTTCAAACCCTCTACCAGGAATTCAACTCAAGGAACTTTGCTGTTTAGATGGCTATATACAGTGCATTGGCAGATTTATTTATTTATTTATTTATTTGATTTATGGAGTGGTCTATCTCACAACAGTGATTCTCAGTGGTGTACAAAGATTAAAACCACCATAACAAGCCCATGACACTTCAGTTAAACAGTAGCCCCCCAAAGAGAAAACACATTACCAACAGAGCTGACCTAACTGCCTGGCCCAGATGCCTGGGGAAACAGCCAGGTCTTCAGAGTCTTATGGACCTCCAGGGGGGTGCAGCTCCACAGGGAAGGCACAACTCCAGGGTCCAACAAGATGGCACTGCTTCATGGAAGGGACCTGGAGCGTGCCCTTATTGCTAGACCTGGTGGGGTGGACAGAAACAATGGGTGACAGGCAATCCTGAAAATTGTCTGATCCTATGCCATGTAAGGCTTTTTAGGTGATAACCAGCATCTTTGATTGGATCTGGAAGACTACTGGGAACTAGTGCAGCTCGCAGAGCAGTAGTATAATATGAGCGTATCAAGAGATGCCCAAAACTTCCCACACCATTGTGTCCTGTATCAGCTGCAGCTTCCAAATGCTCTTTAAGGGCAGTCCTTTGGAGAGCTAATCCAAATGGGAAGTGACTAAGGCCTCCCTGCCCAAGAATGGGCGCAATTGGTGTATAAGATAAACCTGTGCAAAGCCCCCCCCCCAACCACCTGCTCGTTGAAGAGGAGCCATGAGTCCAAAAGGACTCTCAAGTTGTGCACCACCTCTGACTGGGGAAGTGCACCCCTGGGCAGGGTTAAAAATATCCAGAGCAGTAGGGTCAAAACCTACAGTCACTCAGTCTTGCCAGGATTGCGCTGAAGCTTGTTCTCCTCCATCCAGATGCCCCCAGCCTCCAGGCACTGGGAAGGGACCTTGACAGCATTGCTTGGTTGGCTCAAGGCAAAGATGCACAATTGGGTATCAACAGTAGCTGGGTATCAACAGCATACTGATGATACCACACCGCACCCCAAGTCAACAGATGATCTCCCTCAATGATTATATGTAGATGTTAAATAGAACTTTATGACTTGTCATAAAGGGGAAACAAGAGAGCCTGAGGCACTGCACAAAGCAGAGGCCTCCATCTGGATCTCCCCCGCCCCCAACTGGAACTGATCCCTGGAGAAAGCAGAACCACCATAACATCATGCTTCCCACTCCTAATCCGTTGAGCTGGCCCAGAAGAATACTATGATCGATGGTATCAAAAGCCACTCAGAGGTCAAGGCGGGCCAGGATGAATGTACTACCCCCATTTTGAGCCTGCCAAAGGGAATACTTAAGAAAGGCTCTTACCCGTGCTTGGTCAGGTTAAACCCTTTGTCTTCCTCTGGCAGCATTCTAGGCATCTCTTATGCCATTTCATCACTGGAGTTCCTCTGAAAACCAGGAGACCCTCCGATATCCACGTGCATAGAGAGCCCACACAGACGTGATCCAGTCCAAGGCCAAAATCACCCTCTCATTTCAAGAGGCAACCAAAGCCTTGATCGAGCTGTGTATCAGAATCTCAGGAACAACCCCAAGCTCCCTCTGGAACCCAACAGGGTCCATCAGGTGCCTGGGGCAGACTGTTTGAATGCCTCCTTGAAAGGAGGTGCATCCCAAAGAACTCCAGAACCAACAGGGAATGATGACAAGAGACTGATGGCATCTTCCCCCAATTCCAGATATGCAGGTCCTATTTGTTGTGCACATAATTGTTAAACATAAAGTTAAGGCATGATTTTATTTAATGGACCTTACTCCACTGTACAGATCACGTGATCAATCCTGTAGTGAAGAATCATTATAGAGGGATACTAAACAATCTAAGCATGAGACCAAGACCCATGTTTAGTACAACTCATTTTTATTAGAGAGATTATTTATTAATGATTCTACTGAAACTCTTGATCACTCATATAGAAGAAGAGGACTTCCCTCAAAATATGGTAGATTTCTTCAGTGTTTTGAGTATGTACTCATAGCTTCCAAAATCTTCCTGCTGTTGGCCAGTTTAGCACCTTCTGGGACTAACTCAGCTGCTTATACAATAAATCTTTTGTAACTTTTCTTTAGCTTAATGCCAATACACTATGCTCCTAGTGATCTCAGTATCTGTGATATCTTTATCCTAGAACCCTCCTCTCAGTTCTGTTTTTCAGTCTCATTTTTCCAGTTTTTTTCTTTGAAACTTTAAGATGTTTCATTTTTGCCCATCCACCTCTAAATTTTCCCAATCATTCATACTCTAAAATAGTTACATTAACACTTTACTAGAAATAATATGTGTATAATAAATGAATATCCATGATATAGAAATAATGATAAATGAATATCTATGATTATAGGGATTAGAATAAACCAAATAAATAACCAGACCGTAACAGGGATTTTATGGACTTTTTACCATACTAAATGAAATTAACAAGAATTAATGAGAAATGGGTTCATTTCAAGATGCACTTCCATCAACCAATAAATGCAGCTGATCTTGTTATTTTTATTTGAAATAACTAAAAGTCATAGTCTAGGAAGCCAGCTTCTAAGGTATTGAAAAGACTTTCTTGCACTAAATTATATTTTAAAAAACTAGCCAGAGCTATTCATTGGAAGTGTTCTGTTTTCTCTGCTTTGGAGACAAAACAGATTTAATTTTTTTAATAGATCAGATAATGGCGGAATTAAAAGCCTTAGTGTCTGAGACACACACACACACATATAAAAATCATTCAGCTTGAACATTTTGGCACACAATGAGCCACAGATGCTGAAACAGTGTTCAAATAAATAAAGATCTTCAGGATATAGTGACTTATCAGTTAACATATCAAGACTTACTAATACAGGATGAAGGAGAAGTCAAGATGAAGTCAAGAGAACAACTGACTGCAGAAGGACATAATTTTCAATGGTTTTCATATGCACAGTTAAAAGAAAATTTTAATATGGATAAAAAGACAACTGGAATTGAAAAATACAAAATGGAATTTGAAACTGAATTGTGTACAAATGATGAACATGTAATAGCAAAAATGTATAAGCTTTTGTTAAGATTCGAAACAGAAGAACAGGTTAAAGATTGCATGACAAAATGGGCTACTAATTTTGGATATAACACAAAGATGGACACTTGGGAGAGAATGTGGGTAACTGGTACTGACACTGTGTCATAATTTAAGAGAATTTTTAAATAAAATGATGCATCATTGCTATATGACACCAGGGAAACTATAAAAAATGTACAAAGTTATTTCAAACCAGTGTTGGAAATGTGAAAAGCATGAAGGAACATTTTATCAGGCATGGTGGACTTGTGAGAAAGCTAAGCAATTTTGGATACAAATTCATATAATGGTGCAAAGGATTTTAAAGACTAATATTGCTAAGAAACCAGAACTCTTCTTATTGGGACTTATGGACAATGAATTAGAAAACACTCATGGCAGATTGATATTGTATATGGTAACTGCAGCAAGATTATTGTATGCACAACGATGGAAGAATAATGTAATTTCCACAATTGGAGGAATGGATTGTGAAAATGTCAGAATGTGCAGAAATGGTGAAGCTGACCTGTTTGGTCAGAGAACAAGCAAAAAAAAACTTTTTTTGAAAGACTGGAAACTTTGTATGGACTTTTTGCTCAAAGAAGAAAAAATGAATTGATGATTTATGGATCCGAAGATTAATAAAGATGAGGACTAAATGAGGGGGTGAGGGGATCCGTAAAATATTTAAGAGGGAGGAGGGACAATAGGATTGTAATTATCTGTTGAAAATAAGGTCATTTAAATATTTCTTAACTTCAGTTTTCTTTTTCTTTTTGTGCACTTTTTTTCTTTTGATTCATCTTTTATTATATGAAAATTCTTAATAAATATAAATTTTAAAAAAGATACAGTGTCTTATCTATAGGATCTGCTTCACAGAAATAATTTAAGTTTTTTAAAGATTCCTTACAACTCTCAGCAAGATCAGTTTATAGCAGTCTTTATGAAGAAATTTAAATGCAAGATATTTTTACTACTGTTGGGATATAAACAGAAAGTACTTAACATGTGGGTTTCCTTTTCCATACAGTATAGACACCCTGTCCTATGTGTTGACATTTTGAAGTTCTACATTATTCTGTTTATTTTAGCAAGTGGGATCTTTGGAATAGAATGAAAAGATAATAGTTTTTCAAGCATTACCTCTGCCACTGATTCAGAAATGAAGGCTATTCAGTGGTTGTGGTTGTTATTATTATTATTTCAGTAAATATTATTATTTGGCAGAAAAATAGGGATTAAACTTTCCCCCCCTTTTTTTCAGCATTTATCCCTGAATTCTAATGTGAAGTTTTTTGATCCAGAGGCTGCAGAAAAGTTTATTGGTTTGGGGTAATTTGAAGTAAGGTAGCGTAGCAGCAACTTTTTAATGTCATCCCACCTTTTTTTTTTTTTTTAAGAGAGAGAGAAAGAGGGAGAGAGGGAACATGGAGACAGATGTATTACCTTGCCTAGGAAGGAAGAGCTTTTGTACTGTATTTTCAGTACAGCTCTTCCAGAAGTGCCTATACTGTAGTACTATACAGTTTGGGGGTTCTTTAGTTTCTGGTTTAGATTTCCCTTCATGTTTTCTTTTCTTTTCTTTTGTGTTATGTGTCTGTGTATGTTTTTCATGATTTTCTTTTTAGGCCTTTAAAAAGTTTGTCTCAATTAAATGAACACATTTTTTTTCTCCTTTTTTTCCTCACTCGTTTTTCTATGTGGGTTTTTTCCATATATCATCACCAGTAGTTTCCTAGGATGTAAAAGGGATTAAATGGCCACCTAAGAGATGACTCATACTAACTAAATGAGGAAATTTAAAACCAAGGGTCCCCCCCACTTTTTAAGAAGAAAAAGTTTCTTTCTCCACATAAGAAAGATACTTAATCTAGGAAATGGATGAATCAAAATATATTGGTGGAAATAAAAACTCTTGTCAAGGATGCCTTTATATTCTGAGAAGGTATTGAAACTTCTAGCAAGGTGGTGATGTGTTTAAAAAATGCATTTTTTTTCTTTCTCCTATAAGTTGTTGAAATGACTTCTTGGACTATCTGTTAGAAAGCTGAAGGTGCTGCACAGCTGGAGACTATGGCATCAAATAAGAAGCAAGTATTTCTCCTCAAAAAGTCAAGGCTTTGGATGAAACTCTTATTAGATTATCAAGCAAGAGATGTACAGAGAGGGATTTTGACTCCAGGCTTACATTCTGACTTGGCAGCAAGAGAAGTGGAGATTTTAGATACTATACTCTATCAGCAGACTTTCAGAGAACATTCAAAAGTGGATGTCTTAGAAAAAAGTTAAAGAGCAAAGAATTGGTATGGAATTATATGAAAAGAGAAAAGTTTAGAAGAAGCAGACCTAAGAAGAAAGAGATCCCAAGAGGAACCTGATTGGATTCAAGGTTAAGCAAGCTGTAAAAAATATGTGTACAGTATATTGAATTTCCTTATGTGGAGGATGAAAAGGATCTCTTGTAGCTTCCATGGAGAAACATTTATACGAACTGGTCCAACTGAAATATGGAGTTTTTTTTTTAAGATTCAGCTTTACAAGTCCCAACCATTTAAATTACTGTAAATTACAACTTCCTGTTGTAGTGGAATTTTTATGAAAATCTGAACATAACCACATTTCAAAGCTACCCAGGAAAGTCAATACCCTAGAGTATATTGGGGGGGAAAGAGCCTGATTTGCCATCAAGAGTGGTAAGAAAGCATAAAGAATTTAATCAAGTTTGTCTCATGGCCAGACAGCAGAGGATAAGGACTTTCTTTATTGTGCAATATTTTATTTATCTTTTGATGTGGGAGTAAAAACATTATTTGATCCAGACATTTCTACCAACTGTCTTAAACAAAGGGTAAATGCTCAAATTCTGATTACTACATCACAGTAGTCCACTGAGAAATAATTTAATGGTTCGGAGGGTTAAACAGGTTATTTAAAGATTAGTTCTAAATATCTGTTTTATTTTAAAATAAATTATTTCATTTTTTATATAGTCTATCCCAGGCAAATGTACTGTCTTGAACTCTGCATCCAATTAATTTTGTCCAACTCATTTCCAACATAATTATTTCAGGGTTACAAGAATTATTCCTTTATGAAGACCAAACAAAGCTTAAATGTCTGTTTATTAAAAAATGAACATCCAAGATAGATAGTGACACAAATGTGGAAAATGCAACCTATTCAGATGGAAATAATGAAAACAATGAGCTGGATTCAGACTTGCATTCAGCAGAGTTCCACTATGATAGCAGAAGAGAATGAGAAAATATCTTTCATCAATTTCTGTTCCAAATTCCCTTTGTAAAGATGCTCAGAAAGGTTAAGGGATCCTCTGGAGCAGCATCAGAAGTGGTATTAGGGACTGTTCCCCTCTCTTTAATGTAAAGCCTCTGTTGTATCCAGGTTCCATGTTTTTGGAGGAACATACCCAAATCCAACCCAGCATAAGTGCGGTATTATTAGTAACAGAAAATGCACAGCTTGGTAAACATTGCATAAATGTTTTTCAAAAGTATCATCCATTGTAAAACATGAAATATTGGCAAATACCTACGCAAACTCTTGAACAGATGTAAGTGAAAAATTACAGACTGGAACAAAACTTATATATCTCTTTCAAAATATAAAAATAAAGTACACAGTGATCAAACATCTTTCTCCAGTATGACATCCACCAGATGTATTTGGACAGGAACTCCCAAAATGGTTGTATCAGCTGGTAATTTGAGGATTTGTAATCTCAGCACACCTGGAAGACACCTAGCTGGGCAAGACTGCTTTGAACCAATTTCATTATTTTTACCTATTGTCTAATATTCACCCGTATAGTTATGTAAGTAATGTCACTATGTTAATTCTTATACTGACCAAATTTGATGACATTCCTTTCTAGTCAGGTGGATTAATTCATCGTAATTTTATGCTTGAAGTAATGTATAAAGCATTTTCCACTGCTTGGTAATAACAATACTTGGTATTCAAACCCTCTTTTTCTTTTAGTATCAGAGTAGCGTGTAAGAACATTTTAAAATGATTTATATCATCCTTTTATGATTAAAAAGATAACACATATTTTGCTTTCAATATACTACTTATTGGATTAGATTAAAAAAAAACCCAATAGTTCCTTGCACCTAAAGAGGTGTAGATGTGGTTTTTGAACAGCAATCCACCATATGAACTCATTAGTATTTTGTAACCAGTTTGTGACAAGGAATCATTGCACTTTCGGCATGACTTAAAAGCAGATTTGGCAAAAAGATTGCCGCAAAATAAAATATCTGGCAATTGTTAAATTGTGAGGTTTCAGCAATAAATGCAGTAAATCTCCCTTAAAAAGAAAACAAAGCTTTTCCATACATACCTGTAAAATAAAAACAAAACAAACAATTCAGGTTGATGGAGATGTCCTTTGCTTTAAAGATCTTCATTTCTTTGGTGCTGTAGTTTTTCATGTTGTTTTACAAGGAAATCATATTCTTTCTTAAGCTCTTCAGACTGCTTTTTAACAGCAGTCATTTCATTTGTTGTTTTGTGGAGAGCTTCTGAACTTTTCTTTAATTCTGCCTTTAACTGTTCCACTTTTTGGAGTAGCTTTTCATTTTTTACCACAGACAAACGTTCACCAGTAGAATTTTTAATTTTCTTCAGTGATTGGTGCAGTCTTTCGTTCACTTCCAAGCACTTTCAGGCAACTTCATTGCTGTTTGCTATTTCCAATTTCAGAACAACCTCAGCTTCCATCTCTTTTGCCAATAAAGTGATAAGGGAAACAGTACGTCTCAGTACAAGCCAAAGAAAAAGGGAACATCCTGATATATAAGGATTTCGTTGTGATCTAAAAACTTTCATATGAATGTGATCAAATGCATTGGGGGTCGAATGTGTAGTTTCTTCACTTAAATGAACATTTGAGTACTCCTTCATTTCTCTTACTGCATCAAGAAATAAAACAATTAATGTTAACTATAATAGTAAGGAATGCCTTGTTCCAATAGTTTGCAATTTTATTCCATATAGGGATCATAACAACTTATTCCATCTCACTGGCAAAATGAGCAGCATGCAGAGCAACAGCAATAAGGCAATTTTGCTGTAAAGAAACGCAGACATGTTGGTCCACTGGAAAGTCATGGCATCTCTGAGAGGGGGACCTGCTTCCGCTCCCTCAGAGGGTGTTTCGGTTTGGGCTTTGTGCATGGGGTATGTATGAACTAGCCCACGTGGTTGGTGAACTGGGGCTGGAGAGTTAGTGTGGGGTACAAACCCTGCTCATGCCTTGACTCAGTCAGCCACAGCTTGGCTAGGGGGATACCTGGCCACAACGCTCTTTGCAAAGGAGAGGGGTGCTTTCTGCACCTGGAATTGGGTGATTAGTTCATATATGCACACTCATAAAGTTGTGGAGGGGGTCTTTTTCCTCTCCCCTCTGCTGTACTTTTTCTTCATTTTCACAGCTTATTATCACCATAGTCAGAATATATTTCCATTTCTGTGATACTGAGAAAACCTTTTGACCATGACTGCTGAAATCAGACAGCACAATTTTCTGACATAATTAATTAGGAAACATGAACATTTTAGTGTAAGTCTTAAAAAGGGCATATTACAGCTAAAGAAAAAAGAATTCCCTCCTAACTCAGATATGTCCACATATTTGACACAGACCCACCAACTTGATACACTTCAACTGCCAAAGAATGTTAAATGTGGCCCTTAGCTATTAAAATGAGCTAAGTGAAACCTATGTGTTGAATATTGTTGTGAATGATTGAAATATTAAATTGTTTTTAAACATTTTTATTTTAAAACATTTATGGAATAAAATAAATGACTACATAAAAGGAAAAAGAAGAAAATGAAAAATAACATAGTGGATAGAAAATAAAATATCTGTAAATAAACAGAAAATTTACAATTGTCATAAAATTTAAATTTCATTATTTTATTCCGTTGATTAAATAATTAACTGAATATATAATTGAAATACTGAACTACTAATAATCTTGACTTTCCATTGCTGGAAATCTTAGTTCCTGTTTAGAAATTCATCTAAGTGTATATGCTACCTTTTTTAAAAAAAAGTTATCTAGGGATATTACTCTGTTTACATAATTGTAAAGCCTTAGAGTACAGTAGTGTATGTTATATTTGTTGCAACAAATTGAGCCACTAATTCATTTTTAAAATCTTACTAAATGAGTCACCTCAATTCAGTGTTAGCAGTCTAAAAATAACTTCATCCAGCTTTACTGTTGTCATTTACACAAGTGCTTAGATGTCACTTTAATTAAAATAAATCTTTCCTTAGACAGTTCATATTCTTTATGCCACATCTTTTACTGACTCCCCAAAAAGGAAGACAATTTTCTTTCTAAAGCTTAAATAGGGCTGTGTAGCTCTTTGAATCTGAAGGCAAAAAGCTGCTTTGAATTATGAGGGAACACATAATCTGTCTGCAACTCCTTAAAGCAGCTGTATCTGTTTTCCTGAACAAAGACAAGTCTGGTTTAAGGACATGTAAATACATGTTGTGTGTGTATCTGCTCACTGTGAATCACCTTTTGCCTTAGAAAGCAAAGAGCTGCACAGCTCTAATGCATATAACCTTTATTTTTCCCAGATAGATCTTGTATATGGCACATTAAATACCATCTCTTGTCTATGGTATTAAAGAACAGTAATTTTTGAAAAGTTGAATTAACTCAGAACATTCCAACAATTAACTTAGCTCAACCATCTCAGCCTTATGGAAGATTAGGCAGGGAGGTGAGTACCCAAAGAGCAGTTATTTTACCAGTACAGTACAATGTGCTCAGCTAATGCCATAACAAAAGCTATCTTTGATGTAAAGAACCAGGGATTTAGTGTAAAAAATTATTAAAAGGGCAGTGGGAATTACTAAAGGACTTCATGATGGCTTTTGCAATAAAATTAATAATCTTTAATTGCTTCACGGTCTGACTGAAGACACAGAACTGCCACTGACCAAAGTATGAAGATACATCTTCACAGGAAATGGAGAAAATACTTTCAAGAAAAGAAATATTAAGAACCATTACTGTCTTAACCATTAGTGGAAGATCAAAATGCACTGTGATTATACTTGAAATAGCCACCTGTGGGCCTTCACCATCAGCAGAACTGATGGAAAAATGAATAGGAGAGGCTCTATGTTAGAGACATAAGGCATTTCATAGCAGAGTCCTGCCTATGCTCATCCAGGAACAGAACCTTGCACACTTCAAGGATGGTCTTGTTTAATGAATTTGCTCAAATGCTGGCAATCATAGCATTTGGACTGCAATAAAAATGCACTGCTGTCTTGAATACTCCAATCCCAGAGAATGCCAAGGATAGTTTTGGAGTGAGTTTGGGCTTCTCTGCAAATATACAAAATTGTTGCAGTGTTGTTCTATACCACTTATAGACATATAGGTTGCATTCTATTTAAAAAAGATTTTAAAAGGCTGGCTCAAAAAACCTGAATAAGAAATTCCCAAAAGCTAATGTATCAGCCAGCCATTTCTTGAGTCCAACAAATTTTGAACATCAGAAGTTCTATAATTTGGGCTATATCTGTTGTCAAAATATGAGGAGTAAGTGAGACCAAGATAAATGGCATGCCTCAAGAGGCATGATCAGACTGGTTTGGGCTGGGTACAGCTTAGGGGGAAAATTTGTCAAAAATCAACACAGAAGGAATCTTATTTGCAGTCTTGAGAAGGCCACCACAATTGCAGCCTTGAGAAGGGCACGCTATACAGCCTCAAAAGAAAGAGGATCTTTTAACACAATTACCTCTAATTTTGGTGGTAAAAATGTATCACCTGTTGTGTAGCAAAAAAAGAAAAAAAAATCTCAGAATTGAATCAAACCAAACTCCAATGAATTGAAAACACTGTTTCCACAACAGAATTGAGCCCTAAGTTTGGTAAGAGACTGAGGGTACCCTATACATGGACCCCCCCAAAAAACTCACCAAAAACTAAAAATGGAAGATATGAGTGGGTAACTAAAAGCCAATTATCTATGTAAAGCTAAAGTTGTATCCTTGATGCCTGTTAGCCCTGCAAGGTAGTTCAGATAAGAAGCACAACCAAGAGTACTAACTCAATCTTTATCGTAAGGTTACATTAATAGAATCTTGCAAGACTGAAAGTATTTCTCCCCACCTTTCCTTTTACTCTCTGGAAAACTAGGGAGGGTTTCTTCGGAAACATTTCCCATGCCCTCCGTCTTTCTGTGGGCTAAGATATCTTTTACATGCTGGTTGTCCAGTCTCCAGCTCTCCCTCCTTTCTCCCAAAGTCATTCCCACATACAATTACAATGCCTCAGAGGTAAAAGGCCCAACAGAGAGACCAAAGATTAGTGCTTAAAAGGAAAATTGCAATCTACAACTTTAACTTTTGTGCTGTGCATAGATCACGATACGAAAAAAAAGCATCTTTCAGACAGATAGTTATGAACTAATCTTTTTGCAATAGTGAGAATTTGTTCTGGAGTGTTAGGCAACTGAATTGCCCTCAGTTGAAGACCCTCAAACCCAGGACAGATCATAAACCTCCATCCTTTTTGTAGACAACAGAGTATTTGCAATAAAAATCCTGCATCCACAGGCTAGGAGGGACAGATTCTGTAACACTTTTTTGAAAGACTTCTCAGACATCAACCTCCGGAGGAGAAGTAATTGTTTGATGCATCTGCGGCTTCTATACAAACGTAAGAATATAGCCCAACAGAATGATGGTGCAGAACTATGAATTCATGGTTACTGCTTCCTGGATCATGGTACGATAGAGAAAATACACTGTTTCAGAGTTCAAGGCATTGCTTTGACCAATCCCTTCCTTCTTCCTTGTAGTGGACTGCTACCATGCCCTGGAAATCCTGGAAGAAAAAATTGATGACAGGCCCACCAGTTCCTGAAGGGGTATCTTGGAAAAGGGATCCACAGTTCAGCCTCAAGACTCAGACTGGGAAAGCTAAGGCTAGCCTTAGAAAATACTAATATAGTAAGGTCTTCATCTTTTCATCCTATCTAAAGTTCCAAAATGTTCTTGTATTGGACAGCTTCCACTGCTCAGTTGCTGAGCAGCAGTAAATAAAACCTCTGCAAAGGAGAATGTTATTAAGACAGATGCCTTCATTCTTTTTTTTTCTCAGGCTCCATCAGATTCAATAGAGAAGACTATTTGAACTTGAACTACTTTTGCAGCTGAACTAATAGCAACACCATTTGCTATTAGTGAAGCCAATAAGAGGGAATCAAAGTTACTGGTTACAAAATGATTGCAACTTTAGTACTAGAAAGGGACCTATTTGTGTGGAAGACATTGTCATCATTGCCTTCAAGGTGACCATCAATTTTTCAATAACCACTGGGTCTGCAGTAAAAGATAAACAATAACACCTATGGAACTGGGGAGGAGTAAAGTTGTAAGCTGTAAAGAACAGAAATGCCTTCCATTTCAGCATCTGCTGTGAGCATATTTCATTCCAAAACAAGCATTCTAAGTTTAGTACACAGATAGCTTTGGGGTTAGATACCGCAATCCTGAACTCTCCTTGTTTACTGCTATTGCTACTGCAAATGATATTCTGGAAGAGCTCATTTCTTTACAACCCAGGGACCAAACACCAAACATCTGATACACTGGCTTTTTAATTGAGAAGATTATGGTCTCCTGATCTAGCAAGAAATTAGAAGCCATGATAGTGGCAAAATTATGATAGAGTAGAAGAATAGGGAAGTAGAAGTAGATGGCTGGGCAAACTTAATTTTTTTCTGCAGCAATCTCATCTTTAGCAAAATTTTTGACAGGTACCTGTAAAGTGCTTGCAGGATTGGTACCATTTAACAACGTGCCCTTTTTTCAAGAAAAAACAGGCTTAGGCTCAACAGCAGCAAAGAGCTTACAAAAAGGTTCTACCTTCAGTTCCATAAGACATCAGTAAAAGCAGAAATCCAGTGAAGTATCCAAAAGAATATGTCAAAGTAAAAAGAAAAAAAATAAAAGAATGAAATTGTACAATGCTGGCTCAGCTGTAGAAAGTTTCAAAGCAAAGTTCTGCACAATAGCAAAATCCAAAACTGACTACTTATATACCATGAAGAATAACTTACCTTCT